TTACTGCGCAAAAGCGCGATTTACAAAAACTACAAACCTAACCATTTACATCTAATCCCATTGGTTCTGGGGACTGTCAGGTAGGCCGGTCTTTCGAGGACACACAAAGATGAATTGATTTCTGCACAGAAACGCTAATAAAAACTGCATGTGCACAAACCAATACACGCAGTCGCACGCACGCACTCACACACTCACACACGCACGCACGCATACACACACGCACGCATGCACGCACAGACACACACAGTCTTCACACACTCACTTCTGCTTCCACCAGAATCGGTACTCGCAGCAGATGGTGAAGAGGAAGAAGAGGGTTCCGAGGCCGACCATCGCCGCGACGTTGCGCCCGAGGAAGTCCCACTCGAACGGATTACGCCACACGTACTCGCCGTACTTAGCGAACGTGTCGACCATGATCTGATTGGACGCCATGTCCATAAGGCCGCGGCCGAGACAGTAGTGAGGCAGCAGGAGGAAGACCCGCATCAGGATCTCGTTGATGTCGTCAAGGTCCTGCAGAGGGCAGCAGCGGTCAAGGAATGCGCGGCGACACATATATACACGATGATCGTATAACACAGGTCCTGCAGAGGGCAGCACAGGTCAACGATACGCGATGCGAGACACGCACATATATATCATGATCATATGTACATCACAATAATGTCTACTAGGTCCTGAAGAGGGCAGCAGCAGTCAAGGACGCACACATCTACAGCTGTAACATGTAGTACGCAAGTAACGTGTCCGTAAGGTGACGTACGTCCCCCCGATACACAACAGCGTGGCAGGTCATTATACCGACACAGACGTACCGGCTCCTGTAGCGATTGGAGGATGAACGTCGCACAGGTCGATACTACGCCGAGGAACAGATTGACGCATGACAGAGCGACGAAGGCAGTGCTCGGAGTGTTGAACACAAAACTCAACGGGTACATCATCGGGATGATCGACCAGCTGAAACAAGAGAGCAGCAAAAACTCCACGTACCCGCCATGTTTAATGGGCGCCTGCCACGAACTTAAATACTGACCCCGCTACTAATAATAACTAAAATATGTGTCTACCACACACTAAATACTGTACATTAGTATAATACATTAGTATAATACATTACAATGGCAAGCATACAAGCAGTACAGACTCTCCCTGACTTACGAACATTCGAGTTAGGAACTTTCGATGATACGAACAATTTGCCCTGACATGAAGTCCATTAGTGTATAATGTCAATATTGGTGAATAAAAAGACACAATCGCCCCCCTGATTTTGACTTTCGCCAACTCCTGTGTTCACGTATATGTTTACAATATGTACACTTCTAGGTTACTCGATGTTCACACGTACATATACTACACTACCGTACAATACTGTATACGTACGCACATATGTTCGATTTACGAACAAATCGACTTACGAGCGACCGCTCGGAACCGAACCTCTTCGTAAGTCGGGGAGTCTCTGTATATAATAATGTCTGTTCGTCTGTGTGTCCAGCTACCTCGTACCTGTCTGTATGTATGTCCATCTGTCTGTCTGTCTGTCTCTCAGACTGTCCATCCGTCTGTCTGTCTGTCTGCCTGTCTGTGTATTTCGCTACCTCCCTACCTGTCAGTCTCTCTACCTGTTTGTCTCTCTACCTGTCAGTCTGGATTTGTCACATTAGACAGCATTTGCTTTACCTGTCCTTCCTTTTAATCACCGCCCCCCACATGCATAACCAGCCTATCACCCTGTAAAGCTGTATGACATCCCCAAACACACGCTTCCTCACTCACCCATACAGCACGAGGATGGTGATGAGAGCTCCAATGTTGTCCGCTGACACGTAAGCTTTCTGATTGAACGCCACGAAGATAATGATGCAGAGTATGCAGGAGATGAGGTAGTTACACTGCGGAGGCAAACGACAAGACATCACGCATAATCGCAATAAATATATAAAACGAATCAATGCATCGATGGCGATCAGAATATAAGTGTTTTATAACGTTATTTTATAGGATACGTGATTTAGAAACAAGTTATGTGTCAAACGAAGTTCATTCCCTAAAGTGATTTATCGCCAAGTACTGTGTGTACTACCACGTTTGACAAAAACTATCGTCCGTTGTTGTTTGCGAGACATTCTCTACCTGTCATGAACAAAGTCTCATAATGTAAAACGTCATCATGCATTCACTTCACTCTAGAATTTTACATCAGCTATCTACACCTATCTATAAAGAATCAGAAATCTACTCAAGAAGTCTTATCCGTTAAAACGAGGAGAATAACATATACAATCAGAATGAAAGATTCTCTATATAAATACTCACATCACTATATAACACATGAAAACATATAGATGAGAGTACAAGCTTCTTTCCCATCAAATTCTGCCCCAACGATACAAGAACATAGCTCACGTACTTACAAGCACAGCACTTACCATGTCCCAGGTGAAGTTTCCCACCCAGTACATTGTTGGGTTGAGGCCACTGACAAACTGAAGGTGCTTGGCGTTTGATGTTCGTTCATCGATCAGGAACATGACGAAACTCGCAGGAATGAACGACATTGCGAATATCACACAGACGGCGATCGACAGCGCTGTAAACTCCTGATTCCTGATGATGGAAATAATATACCATTATTATTATTTAAATTATCACTAAGTTAACACTGTGCATGACTACCACTATTATTATTATTATTATTATTTCATTATTAAAATTATTATCAAGTTAAAACTGTGTACCACTACCACTATTATTATCATTATTATGCAGTGGCTATATACGCATCCGGTCATCCTTTAAAAAGCTCAGCACAGATTCCCAAATCCATGTCACGATTAAGCCACGTCACTTTCAAATCGTTGATTTTACTGGCTTTACTATTGCTTCAAAAGTTACAAAAACACATTTTTTTGATAAAATACCTAAAGGTAAGTAATATCATGGTAAAAACTTATTGTTTATTGTTTTTTTTTACTGAAAAAATATAGTTGGGTTCACATAAGAAATATATGACCGGACGCGTAGCCTGGGAGCTGGGCGTCTGGTAACCGGACGCGTAGCCACAGCCTTATTATTATTATTATGACTTAGTTAATCAAATAATTACAAAGTTAACACCATTTAGAGGTACCACTATTGTTATCATTATCATTATTATAATTATTATTATTATTAAAATCATTACTGACACCGTGTGCCACACTGCTACATGTATGTGCGGTGTGGCATGTACGTACGTTGCTTTCCTCGCTAGCTGATCCTGTGTGAGGTTCATCGGATGGTTGACCGCCGTGATGCCGTACTGCCGCGCGTCCACGCTGTCATTCAGGTTAGCTCTCAGCTTCAGGTTGCTCAGACTGTTAGTGTAGGCAACCATCGCCGCCCATCCCTTGTTGTTGAACCACACCTGCAACGTGCCAACGACTACATAGTCCAACCGCTGTCCATTCACAGTACACATGTACCGTCCTCATTTACTGTCTATATGCTCACATTTCCATGAGATATATTTAGTCTAACGTTTGTTGCAGAATGATATAGACCTGGTATGAATGTGGTTGATGCGGTTTCAAAATGGCGTAGCATTGTTTAAACTTGATTTAAAGGTTCAGCATGTTTAAAACTTTATGTAATTGTGTGTAAATGTGGTTTATATGTAAGGTAGACAGACTCATGGCTTATTTTTCGTTCAGACTTGTTCTACATATAACTAGATGTGGTAATCATATTATACTCTACTATCAAACACTTATACCTGCATTTTCGATCACTATACCTATAGTCTTTTACTCAGGCCTTCTTTCAACAACCGTTTTGAATGGTATTCCTGATTACCTTTATTATTATCAGTGTTGGAATAAACATATATAATACAATCGTGAATGAGTAAAAGTTATTATTCACTCCCGATACAATATATATGTGAGAAGACTAGGAGAAATACAGAGTGATGTTGTGAGGGTATATACCATGTATACCATGGTGTTATCTCTGTCAGTGCTAGGAGAAATACAGGGTGATGTTGTGAGGGTATATACCATGTATACCATGGTCCTAGCACTGACAGAGATAACTCACCCTGTATTTCTCCTAGCACTGATAGAGATAACACCATGGTATGTTATATATACCCTCACAATATCACCCTGTATTTCTCCTAGCACTGACAGAGATAACGCCATGGTATGTTATATATACCCTCACAATATCACCCTGTATTTCTCCTAGCACTGGTAGAGATAACACCATGGTATATACCCTCACAATATCACCCTGTATTTCTCCTAGCACTGACAGAGATAACACCATGGTATGTTATATATACCCTCACAACATCACTCTGTATTTCTCCTAGCACTGGTAGAGATAACACCATGGTATATACCCTCACAATATCACCCTGTATCTCTCCTAGCACTGATAGAGATAACACCATGGTATATACCCTCACAATATCACCCTGTATTTCTCCTAGCACTGACAGAGATAACACCATGGTATACATGTTATATACCCTCACAATATCACCCTTTATCTCTCCTAGCACTGACAGAGATAACACCATGGTATATACCCTCACAACATCACCCTGTATTTCTCCTAGCACTGACAGAGATAACACCATGGTATACATGGTATATACCCTCACAACATCACCCTGTATTTCTTTATATACCCTCACAACATGGTATGTTATATACCCTCACAACATCACTCTGTATTTCTCCTTGCACTGGTAGAGATAACACCATGGTATGTTATATACCCTCACGACATCACTCTGTATTTCTCCTTGCACTGGTAGAGATAACACCATGGTATACATGTTATATACCCTCACGACATCACCCTGTATTTCTCCTAGCACTGGTAGAGATAACACCATGGTATATACCCTTACAATATCACCCTGTATTTCTCCTAGCACTGGTAGAGATAACGCCATGAATAGAGATAACACCAAGAGATAACACCATGGTATGTTATATACCCGAATAGAGATAACACCATGGTGTTGTCTCTCGTGCTGAGATCCTCTATAGTCTGTGTAAGCTGCTGCCAGAATTCGTCGCTGAAGTTGCCGACCTGAGACATGAAACCTGCCAGCTGAGCTATGGACGCCGCCAGCTGGGTCGTGTTGGCTACAGCAGCCTCGTTCACCACGCCGAAGGAAAAGCCGCCATACCTAAACAAGTAGACGTCTCTGTGTTGGTTACATGAGGGGTTCGTTTCACGTCTGCGATTTCTTGGTAGAGTGTTTTCGCTTTCCATCGGGAATCAGACTTTGACAAAACATCATACTTAGCATGATTGCTGCTAAATAACTTGAAATTATTAAGTCCAGTCAAAATCTCCAGGCATTGGAGCAAAAACACACTATATTGGACAGCGATGCTTTTATACCTTTTTTTTTAATCATCTGATGTGAGTTCACATGATTTTCTGAATTATAATGACGTTTTTTAAGCGATATGCAGAAACTATCAGAAACAGAAGAAGAAAAAGAAGAAGAAGAAGAAGAAGAAGAGGAAGAAGAAGAAGAAGAAGAAGAAGAAGAAGAAGAAGAAGAAGAGGAAGCAGAAGAAGAGGAAGAAGAAGAAGAAGAAGAAGAAAAAGAACAACGACAGCAAGTGGAAGAAGAAGTAGAGGAAGAAGAAGAAGATGAAGAAGAAGTAGAGGAAGAAGAAGAAGATGAAGCTAAACTTGAGTACACATGCTGACGTCATGCACACACCTTGATGTCTCATACTCGTTATAAGTCATGAGCAGGTAGTCTGTGATGTTACGACCGGTCATGTTCTGTATATAGTCAGTTGTATCGGCCAGCATGTAGGGTGGTGGCATTCCACCCGCACCAGCAGGACATTCCTGGTGAGAGACAAGAATACACAACCTATCAGTCATTAGAGAATGCACTTAACACGACACCATGACACTCAGGAAACATAAATTAGGTAAAGAACATAGAATCGGGTTCTTGCGTTGCGTCAATTTGACAGGAGTTGTCGGTGAACAGGGTTGCAAGATATTCGTTTGGTGGCGTGGGAGTGTAGCAATGGTGCAGGCAGTGTTACGCAAACACAAGCGCAGCGTATTCACCTAGGTAACAAAAATGTACCAGTCAGCAGTATGTGATGCCAATGCGTCAACTATGATAACTATAATTCCCTCACATATTTACCATCTTCACATCGATAAAAAAGACGTTTTCTCATTGTTTATTCATTAATTGACTGCCAATAAACCGTCAGCGTAACTTTACTGTTATGTATTCGAAATACAAAACAGCATTTCTAAGAAGATGCACAATCTACACATGGATATAGACCCATATATACACATGGATATATGTCATTGTCAGTTCATCTCACACTATCCTAGAACCTTCTCCCACAAACCTGGAATCCAGTTTCCTCGCAGCTACAAGCCGGACTTGGGTTTTCCTCCGTCCAATTTCCGTTGAGGAGCAGTTCCATGACGTCTGCTGGCAGGATTGTCTGACCGAACACGGAGTTGTTGACGGGAACGCACGGCTTCGAACTGCAAGCAGGCAAGAGAGCGATTAGAAAACACGCCGTGATGCGAGGGCATGTGCATGTCGTTAGCCGTAGCTAGCTCGAGGCAAAATGGATGACCCTTGCCACGAAACCTCCACATCATCGATGCCAGCACTTCATCATGCGATGCCGAGTCACATAGACACGGGTCAGCGTCATCATTATCATGTCAAGTGATCGTACCTCGGACTATTAGTAACGCAGTTGATAACACCGAATATATAACTGCAGACTATAACTGTACATATAAATCAATGTGAAAGTATAATAAAAATTTATTCGCTAGCATAATTTTACAAATGTAATATTAGATCAGTTACGTATATATGAAACAGCTGATATGCTGCTATTCATGCTTCGCACGCTTGTCACCCTGGCAGCATGGTATTAAATATCTGTGACCTCTACTCACGGTATGCTGTAGTCGAGCATGCATCTAGTGCCGAGTCCTGGAGGGTCTAGTAGTGCCCTCTCTAGGCGATCAGAGGAAACGTTGCCCGGAGCATCATTACTAAAAACAGGCAGCAAGTGGCGAGTATAAAACATATGCACTTATAGTCTGGACAATACAGGAAAATGTGGAAACTGTAAAGTAAACACCATTACCAATTGCAGATAGAGATAGGTCTGCTTACATTTTAACACAATTCACTGTTTCGTTTTTCAACCCTTTCTGGTGTTGCTCAGTATTCACTTAAATGGCCTAGAACCAACATATACATAAACATAACCCAGACACATACATACTACTATTACTACATATACTATATATATAATATATATAATACATGTATATTAGATAGTCTTAGGCATATGCATAAACATAGACGTAGACTGAAGCTATTATATAGTCTTTGCTTCATGGAAAGAAACAGTATTGACCTGGACTAGTAATAGCAGTGTGCAGTTATTCAGATTTACTCACGAGTAGAAGACATAGTTTGGAGGGCCGTACAGCCACGGTGTGAGTTCCAGCTCTGGTTGGTTGCCGATGCCCGGCGTGAACACTGCAAACACCATCGCCATGCATATGAACAATGCTGGCAGAATAATCTGCAAGTGCAATGAAACAATGGAGCCGTTATTAAGAACGTGTGTTGACAATGATTATCTCGAGCAGTTCCATGTAAACATCGATATTGTTTCCCACAGATGGAGCTGGATTCCAACATTTGAACACATGAACAACATAAACACATGAACAACATGAACACATGAACAACATGAACACATGAACACATGAACAACATTTGAACACATTCTCACCATTAACACGTTTAACGCTGCCGGTGTTAACAATGCACCTACTGCCCTGCGCTGGGATTTTCGGATTTTTACCGCGTATTCACTTTTTGATTTACCACATTTCCTTTGCAGGAAAGCTAACCAAACTGACACATTTACTCTGCATGAATGTTATCTCACCCTTACACGTTTAAATAGTATGGAAATCGCCCTTCATAATAATATATTGATATGTAAACAGGAAAAAAATGGACATTTCGTGCATTTTCATCTCAAATGCCATTGAACCGGTGGATTTTCGCGAGTTTGTTATGATATCATTCGACAGTATACTATTTTTTCCGGTAAGAAATGTGAAAACGCTTACACATGTGTGGGGTATGAACCTTGTTTTGTTTTTTTACATGCAAAAATACATCGAAATTTTATATACCGCTAGGAAAACGGTAAACAAACCTCGTTTTGATCTACTCCTTCTAGTTTACCTTCTAGTTTTACAAATTTACCTTGAGTCTCTAAACTCATAATTTCACGTTCGAATCAACGGTAGAGCATTGTATTCTTTAGTTCTTGTAAGACTGGGGTAATATAGACTGTCCCTGTTTAATTTCTAGGTAGGTAGTGCCTGCCATCTGTTGGAAATCAGAGTAACAAAAACCAATAACCTATCCAGGAGCTGACTCGTGGATCCGCGGGGATGCATTTTGATTGTTCCCACGAGCTGACTCGTGGATCCGCGGGGAACGTGTTAATGCAATTTAATTGAGAAGATAGCACTTTAGACTTGCGATAGCAAGAGATAGAAATATCCAAGTATCTGCGTGTGAGGACAGATATCGATATCATTTCTCATAGATGGAGCTGGATTCCAACATTTGAACACATGAACTACATGAACACATGAACACATGAACACATGAACACATGAACAACATTCGAACACATTCCCATCATTAACACAATGTAATTGAGAAGATAGCACTTCAGTCTTGCGATAGCAAGGGATAAAAATATCCAAGTAACTGCGTGTACGAACATGTTGTTTGCATACCTCACAGAAGAAACCCTTCCTGCTGCGCATCGAATTGTGGAAACGCTTGATATAGAGGGCGCTAAACTGCTGCCGTCGGAGTTCACCACCGCTGACCACCTTGTCGCTGGCATCCAATTGGTCGTCTATAGTAGTTGTCATAGATTCTACACAAATACAAGGTGGTGGATTGAGAGCTGTATAATAGATATAGTAATATAGTCATGTTCAGTCGTGATGCTGCAATATATAGAGTAAATTTAATGATGTCAGATAATAATTATCCATCATTACGCAATAAAATTCCTCCGTACAAAAAATGTATACTATCTGGTTACACTCTTGCAACGACTACAATATGATAGCATGAACATATCTATACAGTTTCTATCATTTACTATACAATACTGTACATTATTCACATTACTGATAATTCATTATGGTAGTAGAAACACACACATCCTGAGCTGCATAACGTTATTACAGATGATTGATTGGGTTAAATCTGATCGATCATCAAGTGATAACAGCAACTAGCTCAATATTGCTAAATATATATAGCTAAACTGTGGTTTTATATTTATAATACTAACTAGAAGATTATCTAAAAATTTAAAAAAAAACTAAAGGGAAAAAGCCAAATTTTGCTAAAATACAAATGAACTACAATCAAATAACATATTCATAATCATATGCTATGCAGAAAGACTGTATAATGGGCTTCTATCAAAAGCTGTATCACCATTGTTGGCTGTGCCACCAACGTGAGAATGATAAACAAGTGCCGCGGAGCGACAGCGCTCATCTAACGTCTACTGCGGTGACTCTGTGGTGGAGTGGTGGGATTCTAGTAACCCTGTTAGTCCCAAATGTGTTCACATACGCGCCGAAACAGTGGAAAACGTGGAAGGCACAGGGATGGTATCAGGAACCTTCTCGAAGGAATGTTTGTTGGGATCGTTATGAAAGTTGCCACGAGATGGCGCATACGTTTAAGTGTCTTAAGATTAAAGATAGAAGCTCCCATCGTACGTAGTAGCAACAACTATTTGCAAGACAGAATAGGTAAGCCCTCATCCATTTACCTACGCAAGCCTTACAGGCTGAAATAGAGAGCTGCCCCCTGTAACAAATTAACGCAGGCAAAAACTACACA